TTTTGTTCATCTTTTATTTTTAATGATTTTTTATTAGAGGAGGATGCGTAACACACAAGTTATCTTTGGTATATATTATTAGGAGAGACGTTTCTTTACTGGAATGGAACAGAGCCGAGGTTATGTATCACAGATACTGACCTAGCCAAACAGATCTTGTCGAACAAGTTAGGTTTAGTTGTTAAAGCAAAGATAAGACCAGAGTTGCGTAATCTTATCGGCATCAAAGGGCTTTTCTTTGTCGAAGGTGATGATTGGGTTCGCCATAGAAGAATCTTGAATCCTTCTTTCTCCATAGATAGGCTCAAGGTTCTTTAATCTTTCTTTCCAACCTCGATTTGAGAAACTAACCCTTAATTAGAGAAGAGAAAAAATGTTGTTAATGATTCTTCATTTTATTGATCAGATCATGGCGAAAGTGATGGTGGATTGTACATTGAAGATGTTAGATGAGTGGAGACAACAGAGGAGTGAGGAAGGAACAGAGCAATCAGTGATAGAAAGAGATGGATAAAGAGTTTTTGAGATTAAGCGTTGATGTTATAGCAACAGCTACGTTTGGAAGCAATTATGCACAAGGAATGGAAGTTTTTAGAATACAAGAAGAGCTTAAAAACTGTTGTACTGCTTCTCTTACTAACATATTTATCCCTGGAACCGAGTAAGTTAATCACTATCAGTTCTTGTTCACTTCTATGTTCAGACAAGATTCTAAAGTTCTTGTTTCTTGTATTCTGAGGTACCTTCCTACGCGTTTGAACTTTCGGATATGGAAGCTGGATAGGAAACTGAAGAACTCAGTCAAGAAAATAGTTGATTCGCGACTACAATCAAAATCAGATTATGGAGATGATTTACTAGGAATCATGTTGAAATCTTACGAGTCGGAAAAGAAAGACCGAAAGCTGAGCATGAAAGAGATCATAGATGAATGTAGGACCATCTTCTTTGGAGTTTATGAAACTACTTCGAATCTATTGACATGGACAACAATGTCGTTGAGCTTGCACCAAGATTGGCAAGAGAAACTCAGAGAAGAGATTTTCAAAGAATGTGGTAAAGACAAGATCCTTTTTCACAAACTCAAACTGGTAATTAATGTTCCTTTTTCACAAGGTTTTGTTACTTGTGGTTCAAGAAAAGGGTTTAGGGTTTCTTGTGGCTGAAGAAATTTGTTTTTAATCTTGCAGATGAACATGGTGTTATTGTAGTCGCTTCGCCTGTACGGACCAGTACCATTTTTGTCCCGAGAAACATTGCAAGATATGAAGCTAGGTGACTTAGAGATTCCAAAGGGCACAACCCTAATTTTCCCGCTATTCAAGATACATAGTGACAAGGCCATTTGGGGAGAAGACGCTGACAAATTTAACCCACTGCGATTTGAAAATGGCGTTTCCCGAGCCGCTAATCAGCCAAACGCTCTCCTTCGGACCAAGAGCTTGTATTGGCCAATACTTTGCCATGATCGAAGCGATGGCCGTGATCGCCATGATTCTTCAACGTTTCCGGCTTAGCCTCTCTTGCGAGTATAAGCACGCGCCGATGGATCACATCGCTGTACTCCCTCAGTACGGCTTACCCGTAATGCTTCAGCAAATGCCCTAATCGGATAGTCTAAAATGAAACTAGTTATCTTACCTTGACGACCCTGAGAGCATGATTATAGCTAGTAAATATGATTGGATTAATATATAAATTTTATAATATTTTTTTATTATAGATTTTTTTTATTGCTGAAATAATTTATTTTAGATTTTTTTCTTTCATAATACCAAAATTGTCCTTCGCAGACTCTGCCAAAATATTGGCAGACTCTACTGATGTATTGGCAGACTCTACCGATGTATTGGCAGACTCTATCGATGTATTGGCAGACTCTGCCAATATCTAAAAATACGCAGACTCTGCCAAAACATTGGCAGACTCTGCCGAAACATTGGTAGACTCCGCCGAGGTATTGGCAGACTATCCCGAGGTATTGGCAGACTATGTCGAATCATTGGCAGACTCTGCGGAAACATTGGTAGACTCTACCGATGTATTGGTAGACTCTGCCAATATCTAGAAATACACAGACTCTGCCAAAACATTGGTAGACTCTGCCGAACATTGGCAATGTTTACCAATGTCCAATGTTCGGCAGTGTTTGCCAATGTTTCGGCATAGTCTGCCAAGGACAATTTTGGTATTATGAAAGAAAAAAATCCAAAATAGGTTATTTCAGCAATAAAAAAAATGGTAAGGTTATTCTAACTATTTTTTTTTTAAAATAGGTTATTCTAGGTAAATTTTTCATAACTATATAGCCTATTGAGATTGTAGAAGCACACTTATTTAACAAGGACTAAGCCCGCCTATAAGGGCATGATTATGGGTGATAAATAAGGGTAAATATAAGAGATTTTTAATAGAAAATTTTACCTAGAATAACCTACTTTTAAAAAAAAATAGGTAGAATAACCTTACTATTTTTTTTATTGCTAAAATAATCTATTCTGGATTTTTTTCTTTCATAATACCAAAATTGTATTTGGCAGACTCTGCCAATGTTCGGTAGAGTCTGCCAATGTTTTGGCAGAGTCTGCGTATTTCTAGATATTGGCAGAGTCTGCCAATACATCGGTAGAGTCTACCAATGTTTCCGCAAAGTCTGCCAATGATTCGGCAGAGTCTGCCAATACCTCGGCAGAATCTGCCAATACCTCCGCGGAGTCTGCCAATGTTTCGGCAGAGTCTGCCAATGTTTCGGCAGAATCTGCCAATACCTCGGCAGAGTCTGCCAATGTTTTGGCAGAGTCTGCGTATTTTTAGATATTGGCAGAGTCTGCTAATACATCGGTAGAGTCTACCAATGTTTTGGTAGAGTCTGCCAATGTTTCGGCAAAGTCTGCCAATACTTCGGCAGAGTTTGCGAAGGACAATTTTGATATTATGAAAGAAAAAAATCTAAAATAGGTTATTTCAATAATAAAAAACTATTTAAAAAAAATAGATTATTCTAGCTAATCTTCCTATAGTTATTAATATTTTAAGACGACTTATTGGTGATATGTGCTACTTAATAGTTAATACTAAGTTACTAACTATTGATATTGCATAGATGATTGAAAAGTATGACTTTTTCATCTTTATCGTGAATCAAAAAGCGAAAGCAACCTGAAATTATCAGGTGTCGACAATGGTTGCATGGGCAGAGAAAGCTGGAAGGGTCAATTTGGTAGATAATTCAAAAAAAATATTTTAAAATCTAATAAAATGTTCTAAATCTAATAGATGAGAATTAACCATATAAGGATATTTTGTTAGATTTTAAAATATTTTTTTTTGGGTTATTTAACCCAATTTCCCTTGTTGGAATAGGTAAAAAATAAATTATTTTAAAATCTAACCAAAACAACCATACGTGGCTAAAGCTCAATCCTTAAATTTAAGATATTTGATCACCATTT